CTGGAGTCCTACAACCCTAATAAAACTTTCTATATACTTCTTTTTTGTTTATTCTTCGTAGTTTTATTTTTTTTTAATAAGTACTTTAAACTGTATAAATAATGTAAAATTAAATTGATTTAAACAGCCAATCATACGAAAGTCTTTCTATGGTATAGAAACAACCAGAACACTGATTGTATACAATGATTTAATACGTAATATCACAATTTTCCCAGAGTTAAACTCGCTTTATTGATATATACCTCAAAATTTGCTTACAGGTTTTGCCTTGGCAGCACTCATTTTCAGATAATCAAGCCTTGACCGTTGGTTCGCCATATGTTATATAAAAATTATATGCTACGTACGTACGTACGTACGTAGCTAAACTCATACGTAGCACATTAGTACGTATCTCACCCACAATTTGTTAAGGGTAACTTGTTAGATTAATACATAATTAATTAATCATACGTACCGATACGTAAAAAAAAACTAACATTTTTGACTTAGATATGCTATACAGTGCTTAATATGTACTAGTATATAACGGTTACGTACGTACGTAGAACTTTTCGTTGAATGTAACAGGTATAAAGAATCGAGGCGCCATTAATGGCAATGACAGACAATTTCAGATTTCAAGAATAAAAAGTATTGTCATAACTTATGATTAATAAAAAAAGAATTTGACAAAGGTTATAATCCGTCTCGTTCACTATATAGTTTACATAAGCAAATTGAGTGTGAAACGGTGCACAAATCTTTGCTAAAAATTTTTGAGACGAAAATTAAACGAAGCGATCTTGTTTTTTACACGTATACAATCGATGTTCGCATTTCGGAAAATAAAATAATATAAAGTATTTGTATGTATGAGTGATAATAAAGGTTAAGTATACTAGAAGCCGAAAATGTTCCATTAATAATTAGAATACCAGCCAGCAGAATAATGCCAACATCGATTGTTAATCGCACTAAATCGAGACATATCGAGAAGCAAATCTATCCAATTTCAATCAAACTTGGGGGTTGGGCAAATACTCCAGCACTCAACTAGCAAATATAAAAAAAAATTTTTTCATGAGTCTTTTTTTCATAGATCCTCTCGCAACAAACTACTACCGTGTCTTCACGAAACGCCTAAATTTGTATTATAACACTAATTTAACTCTAAATTAAAACACTTTGTAGCATAATGGCTTTAGCCTTTTTCATTGCGTTGATCGTTCTCTTAACGGAATTTATGCTTTGGTTTGGATATTCCCAGATCGCGAGTATGGTACGTGCACGCTCGATATTCTGGTTTTTTATAAATAAAAGTTCACAGTATTTTGACACTAATAATTATTAATTTAGGCCTATGTTGTCTACTTGAATATTTTTCAAAAAGAAAAATTGGCTAACCAAAGCAAGATCAGAAGAAGCATATTGACTGTCAGACAGGAGTTGGCAAGAACTAGCCCACAGGTAATATAAAGTCTTAATTTTTTCAATTAGGAAACCCGATAGATATTTTTATTATATATATTTTTTTCATTATTATTAATGTAATCAATAATATCATTTCCGATCGATTTGATTAGTGTTACTTGTTTCTTCTCAACAAACTAAAATGAACGATCAATTTCTTTCCATACGATATACGTAATATAGGACGAATTTGCTAATTGGGCAAGATTAAAACGTAAATTGGATAAGAAAGTGAATGAATTAGAAAGAATTAGTAATTTACTTTTCATTTTTTTTTATATACAGTTTACGCATTTCTATAAATTCAATATGATGATTAATACAATTTACATTTCACTGACACAAACTTATATAGCTGCATCATTTGGCTATTTAAAAACGTCTTTTGAAATTAAATTTACGACATTTTTATGGGTCGCGTCCAACGGTGTCCAAATTATTGTGATGTTCTATTATTTTTCAACACCAGTATTTTATCTTCCACCAGGTTGGTTCAGTCCGATAACATGGATTTTCTCTTTGCCGTATGCACCATCAGGTTTGATAAAAACGCGAATTTATAATGATTATATATGGATAACTTTTTAATTTATTTGTTAATGAATATTTTCTCTCATATTTTTATTGCAAAGGGTCTGTCAGCGTATTTTTCTGGTTTTTAATTTGTCGTAAAATGACAAAAAAGATTGTGGTGACCTATAAAGACTCGGGTATATATTTTTTCTTAAATATTCATCATGGTTATTATACTCAAGTTTATTAACGAATTATTTTTTAGTTCCTTTGTATTATTATTATGCACCTGATTCCGTTAAAAGGCTAGTAACTATTGTACTCCAATGGTGTAACGTTAAAGTACAAATGTATTCGCCTATTGTTGTTGTATGGATTAAAACCATGCTTCAATGGTGTTTCGCCAATATACGAACACATTCACCCATTGTTATTGCACGAATGAAGTCACAGGTTCAAAAAATATACGATTTTATTTTGGAAGTAAAAAAGTCATCACAATCATCAGCTGTAAATGAACAATCTAAGTCGTCAGTAGTTGATGCAACATCAGGAGCAAATTAGGGATTGCTCTCGACAAGCTTGAATTTTGAATTCAATTACACGAGTTAAGGGTTGCTTGCGAATTTTTCGTTCAATCACGATGACATTGAGTCATTTAGTGCATGAGAAAGATTAGCAAAGAATCTTTGCAGTTTAATTGCGGCATCTTCTGGTTTGGAGTGTTTGGTTCAAAGCAATATTTTCTGTCAATTCAACTTTTGTTACTTGGTGAATCTGTTTAATATAGAAAAACAGACAAAGTGTTGAGATTACAAATCAAAAATTTGTTGTATAATATTTTGAAGTCAACTTGTGAATTTACAAATATGTAATATAAAAAAATTTTCCAAGTCTGAATTGTATAGAGTATTTTTTTTATTCTTGTATCATAAATTGAGATAATTTAATGGGACCTCCCTAGCGTTGTTCAAAAATTAAGATCAACAGATTGTTGCCTAAATAACTTAGCATGCAAAAAAATAGCTATATAGTAAAATTTTTCGATAACTTAACATTTTATAACGTATAATATATATTATATGGGATCTTTGCTAGGAAAATCACCCTCCGACGTTTTCCGATCGGGCTAATTCGGAACATTTTAAACCAACATTTACATGTAAATCATTTTTTCTCTTATTGATTCAATAGCTTATCGAATGAACACTTGAATCAATAATGACAAAATTGATTTACATTCGGTATAATTTGTCCGAATTAGCCCGATCGGAAAATGTCGAAGCCTAGCAAAGATCCCATATATGTTCACCGTTTACTTCAACTTATCCAGCGTTACCAGCTTAAAAAATTTTCGTTGTTAGATTACCTTCGTGAAATTTAAAAAATAACAAAATCAATGATATCTTATAACCCAGTAATCCAATTTTCATTGAGATGAATCAAATAGTATCAAAATTATTAAATTTGAATTACTAGATTATAAGATAATTATATTTAATTAAAATTTTAAAATATCTAATTATCTTGCTAACCAATAATTCAAATTTGATAATTAAATTCCCAATTTCAACTTGTCAATTTTTTATTATAAAAATCTCTAATCATCATTTTATAATATAAGAATGATGTCTGGAAATAGTGGTGTGTTGTGATCTTATTCAATAAAAAATAAGAGTTTTATTCAACACTTTTTGAGAGTCTTGGAATTTTGTTTTATATATAGTAAAAAATTATCTAAATCTTTGAACCCAGATAAAGAACCTTTCAACTTCACAGTTCTTAGTTCTCCTTCAGAAAAGACCTACATAACTATTATGGAACTAGGATATTCTGTTAACTTTGTATTATCATCAACCATTTTCTTGTCATAATACAGATAAAATAAAAGCATGATCAACTATTTATATAAAATATTTTCAAATTTGTAATACCTTTATTCTAGTATTAAACCTTTGTCCAAAACTAATATAAATATATAAAGTTTTTTAAAAAAATAAAATATTCTATAAAAAAAAATTGTATAATTTAGAAAATTTTAAACATATAATATACTATTAGTCTATATAACAATTTAAAATTAAATTTGAAGCTAAATAATTATATTGATATTTATATTGATATATAATATTAAAAAATATAAGATCTGGAATATATACTTATTATATATTTTAATTCTATTTCTAGTTTTTAACAATATTACATAGCTATTAGAGTATTTCATATCCTAATTAATCAAGGTAACATATTAAAAATTACTAGTACAAATTTTTTACAAATTAATACACCCATATAGATTCTTTTATGATCAGAAAAATTATTTTACCAATTGAATTTTCAAATTAGTTGTATAACAGGTAATGACCATTATTTAAATATTTGAATAAAAAAATTGGTATTTTTTGTATAAATAATTTTTTGAATA